ACGAATAGGAAACGAAACTTTGGACGAGGCAGAAGAATGTATGCTAGAATCTTACTGCACTAAAGCCAGAATTCAAGATGGGATGGAGATTCTCGATTTGGGTTGTGGATGGGGTAGTTTATGCTTGTATCTATGTGAGGTATATTTCTAATCCTATATATACAAACCTATATATACAAAGCGTTCCTTAAATTAATAATTTTTTCATATAATTTTTTTATATATAATAGAAATATCCGAATGCAAAGATCACTGCGCTATCCAATTCCAATACTCAACGTGAACATATTAATGATTTGGCTAAACAAAAAGGATTCAAAAATTTGAATGTTATCACATCCGATATTAATGAATTCGATTTCGAAACTGGATCCAGGTATATATTTTTTTTGTTTCGTTTAAACCATTTATTTTCGATCTTTCATTCATTTCTACTATACGATTTATAGATTTGATCGCATATTGTCAATCGAAATGTTTGAACACTTGAAAAATTATGAATCTCTTCTAAAGAAGCTTTCTGGATGGCTTAAACCACATGGGTTATTGTTCTTTCATATATTTTGCCATCACGAACAACCATATGATTTTATGGTTGAGGATGGATGGATGGGGAAATATTTCTTTACCGGTATTTATCATATATTGAAAAAAAAAAAATTAGGAATTTATAAATCAGTTATTAAATTAGTAAAACATAAGCTTCTTGATTTTCTTTTCTTATCTAATCATACTAAATTTTCTTTTCATAAATAGGTGGGACAATGCCATCCGCAGATTTATTTCTTTATTTCCAAAGCAATTTCAAGGTAATCGACCATTGGATTGTTAATGGTAGTCATTACGGCAAAACCTCCGAGGAATGGGTGAAATTGTTAGATAAAAATAAGAGGATAGCATTGGAATATTTGAAAATAACCTATGGTATGTCTTCATTTAAGTACATAAGGAACTTGTATTTCTCAATTTATTTCTAACAATTCCACTACAACATAAATAGGTCAAGAAAATGCGTTTGCCTGGTTTAACAGATGGCGTACATTTTATATTGCCGTAGCCGAATTGTTTAATTATAATAATGGGAATGAATGGTGTGTTACTCATTATCTATTCGAAAAACAGTGAACGAGC